AGTCAGAGGCTTGCTCTGTCACCCAGGCTGGAGTGCAGTGGCACGATCCAGCTCACGGCAACCTCTGCCCCTCGGGTTCAATTGATTCTCTTTCCTCAGTCCCCCGAGTACTGGGACTACAGGTACACACCATGCCTGGCTAATGTTTGTTGTATTTTTAGTAGAGATGGGGTTTCAGCATGTTGGCCAGGCTGATCTCAAAGTCTTGACCTCAGGTAATCCACCCACCTCAGCCTCCCAAAGTGCTGGGATTACAGGTATGAGCCACCACGCCTGGCCCAGTACTTCAGTTTCTTAGCAACAAAATCCACCCAATGTCAGGCGACGATGATGATGATGAGTTTACCGATGTACACTGTTTGTTCTCTGTCAATGTCTTACTTTCCCCAACTGGTTTTGAAGTTGAGTAAGAACTGTGTTCCGTGGATATCCTGAGTCCTCCAAGGCATCAAGCGTGGTGATTTGGACACAGGAGCCGCTCATTAGTGACTGATGGTCAGGAGTGCGGCTCATCCCACATCACCTGACTTACCTCGGTGTCCTTCTTTGTAGCCTTTTGTCATTCATGATATGGAGACACTGTGTATGGCTGAGAAGACCCTGGTGGCCAAGATGGTGGCCAACGGCATACAGAACAAGGAGGCGGAGGTCCGCATCTTCCACTGCTGCCAGTGCACGTCGGTGGAGACCGTCACGGAGCTCACGGAATTCGCCAAGGCCATCCCAGGCTTCGCACACTTGGACCTGAACGATCAAGTGACACTGCTAAAATATGGCGTTTATGAGGCCATATTTGCAATGCTGTCTTCTGTGATGAACAAAGACGGGATGCTGGTAGCATATGGAAATGGGTTTATAACTCGTGAATTCCTGAAGAGCCTGAGGAAACCGTTCTGTGATATCATGGAGCCCAAGTTTGATTTTGCCATGAAGTTCAATGCACTGGAACTGGATGACAGCGACATCTCCCTCTTCGTGGCTGCCATCATTTGCTGTGGAGGTGAGTGGTTGATTTAACCTGCTGGTATCATGTCACTTACAGGCTCCAGTGGGAAATCCAGTAGCAGCTTAATCTGTTCCAGTGGAGGGGACACTCAGGGTGGGAAGACGTCTGACCCCCAGTCACCACTGAGTAGAATTCAGTGGGAATTACAGCAGTATTGTATAATATTATAGTACCTTATGGCATAAATAATATATAATATTATAGTACATTATATAATGTATGCGTGTGTGTGTGTGTGTGTGTGTGTATATATATATATGTTTTTTTGTTTTTTGTTTTTTGTTTTTTTTTTGAGACAGAGTCTTGCCCTTTCTCCAGGCTGGAGTACAGTGGCATGATCTC